CTAAAACATAATAAAATATAAACAACCACCACGGCGCCGCGTAGCTCAATAAGGTGCAGGATGCACTGATCTAAGCTTTCAACGATAGCAATGCCATTTTTTGGCTTTTCTTTGATTCCTAAGACGTAAAAACCGCGCGGTTGTTTATATTTTTGTATTCAACCGCGGTGGTAGTCAGGTATATAGACAGTCCCAAATTAAAATGTAAACAAAACCCAGAAGTTAGTTACGGCTGATTACGGTAGGGGGCGTACTGCTTGCTTACGTTCGCCTATTACCCCTATATTTACTAATAATATGGATTCTAATGTGTGCTGAAGTTGTTTAGTTAAAAAGAAGAAGGTGTTCTTACTCAAGGCTAGTTGCCATGGTTACGTTGGTACAATCTTGGGAACACGTATAATTTTTATAAGGTTTTAGTTGAAAAAAAATTCCGACAGAGGCGCTAGTATCGCCATATTAATAATGACACACTTCGCGCTTCGTTGCCGTTCCAGAGGTACGTTACTACGTTAGTATACAGTTCATTGGATACAATAAAAAGACGTGGATTCAACACTTAAAATAGCCTCAGAAATTCTTCTTCTTCGTTTTATCTTCATTATCCATTCTCAAATGATTGCCACAACATTGAGAGTCAATTGCACAAGGCTTGCACTAAGGAATTCTCCAGAGGTAAATAAAGATTACCACACAGAGGTTTCATCCATGGCCTAATCCACCATCTCCTTGATTTCCTTCTGCTTTTTCCTTGATATAGTAAAACAGCACTTAGTATTCCACTGGTTACAACGAACTGCTGCTGCTGCGATCCTAGATATGTTGAGATTGTGATAATTCATCATTTACTTATATTCATTCAACACCCAACAAAAATGGAAGTACCTACTTGGGTACTTTCCGGACTAGGCCTGGAAATGCTACTTTCTCAAAGAAAAAGCGTCCGGGAAGTAGGTACATCCCGGACGGTTGCCGAAAATAAATATTTCACAGCTCTTCAAAAGTAGGGCAAATTGAAATGAAAGCACTGTAGTACAGAGGGAGGCTTTAAATTTTGACCCCTACATACCGCTTCAACTATACGAGGTAGAAAAAAATTCAAATATGAGAGTTGTAGGGTTTCATCTGTACTATCTTTTGGCTCTCCTCAAACGAACAGATGCGCATCGCGAAATTGATGAAATGAGTCCAAATATATTTTTTTAAATAAAATACCCTGTATGTTTTCAACTCTAGTGAAAGATATTTTTTTCCTGTTTACAAATATATATAGTTTGCTAGTGTTTCCTTTAGCCGTTTTCACTTACTTATTTAGCTTATTTACAACAAAAATCAAAATTGTCAATAACATTTAGATGACCGTGGAAACAACAGAATGTCATTGATATCAGAACACACAACAAACAAGTGGCAAAAGATAGTACAGTTGAAAGTTGAAACCATACAACTTTCATACTATTTGAAGTTTTTTTTCCACCTCATATAGTTGAAGCTGTATAGGTAGGGGTCGAAATATAAGGAGACACCCTGTACATATCTACCCAGCGAATATATATATTCGAATCTCGAAAACCTATTCGACACGTGTAACGACTATTTTTCATATTTGATTATAAAATAATTCCACTTTTATTCTTTATCCCTAAAAAAAATTGGCAGGTACGCCCACAATATCACACTTTTTTCAAAATCAATAAACCGTTGATGGAGGTAGCCTACCTAGGTATTGCTCAATCAAGGAATGAACACATGATTTTAATAAAATATTTTCAATCCGAAATAGGCACCTACCTATATAAAATATTTTCGTACGCCTTTGAGAACTTAATTCGAATGGGACATGAAGGCCAAGTAGAATTAAAAATGAAACGGCGTGCTTGTTTTCCATTCTGTTTCGATACGTCGTGTGTCGTTGGTTGTCGTAGGTATCGAAGTAGAATAAGAATGAATATTCGCATTGCAATTAAGAATTTGTATACCTATGCCATGGATATTCAAGTCAAAATAGAATGATATTTCATTCTTTTGTCACTTGGCAGTCACAGACATCAAAGTAACATGAAAACTCAAGTCGCATTCGAATGTTATTTGATTCTTTTGCCAGTTGAATTTCCATTACACTTTGAGATCGCGGACATCAATGTAGAATAAAAATCAAGTCGCATTCGAATGTTATTTGATTCTTTTGCCAGTTGAATTTCTATTACACTTTGCGATCGCGGACATCAAAGTAGAATAATAATCAAGTCGCATTTGAAATGTGATATAATTCTTTTGTCAGTTGAATTTCCATTACACTTTGAGATCGCGGACATCAAAGTAGAATAAAAATGAAGTCGCATTCAAATGTTATTTGATTCTTTTGCCAGTTGAATTTCTATTACACTTTGCGATCGTGGACATCAAAGTAGAATAAAAATGATGTCGCATTCAAATGTTATTTGATTCTTTTGCCAGTTGAATTTCTATTACACTTTGCGATCGCGGACATCAAAGTAGAATAAAAATCAAGTCGCATTCGAATGCATTTCAATTCTTATGTCACTTGCATTTTCATTTACATTACACTCTGCTGTAGCTGACATCGAAGTAACATGAAAATTCATATGGCATTCGAATGATATTCAATTCTTTTGTCACTTGCGTTTCCATTACACTTTGGCCTCACTGACATCGAAGAGACATCTTAACTAAGTCGAATCCAAATGGGACTTTGATTTCAATTTCATATGAACGGTTGCGACAGCTTATATGCAATGGATATTGAAGTAGCAGAAAAATGAAAGCAGAAATAAAATTAAGTTGAATGAGAAGTAATGTTACATAGAAATCAAAGTAGAATGAGAATGCGAGAACAAAAGTATCTATTATATATGTTATGGCACATCAATTTCCATTGCATGTTGGTACCACGAGTCTTCCGTATAGCAAAAAAATTAACTTGGAATGGAAATGTAACTGACATTCAAATCGAAGTGATATAAAAAAACAGTAGCGCCATCTAGCACCATTTCTGAGAAAAAAAAATTTCCTCTTTCCCAGAGAGGGCGCCAGTAGTTTTCCATGTTACTCGAATTGTTTTGTCACTTGTATTTTCATGGCATGTGAAGAGTTTGCTTCTTACAGATGCAATATAATTCAATGTTCCATAAAAATGCATGTGTAATAGAAATTCATTTTTCAATATGCAATCGTTTCAAGTTGTATTCCTTCGAATGCCATGTGGAACGTTGTTGAATATCAATGTGTCATGAAAATCAACTTGCATAGTTGCAAGTGAAATTTAATAAAGATTAATAAGTACATGTGGCATCAGATATTGTATTCGAATTGCTATTAGCAATGCGAATACCAATTCCGATCATGAAATATATTCTATTAAAATTATGTCAACTAGAATGAAAAATAAGTAACATTGAAATGGAACATTCAGTCCATGTCGAATAAAAAATAAAACGGCGTTCCATACGTTCAGGTGAGGGTATTAGTGTTGGGTTAGTTAATCAAGATTTATCTAACCTCTTGGACCATCGAATGAACGTCATAGAGTTGTACAAAGTGTGTACCTCACGATAATGTATTTTGCAATTTGTTTGATTCATCAACCTACGAAAGATAAAACAATGAAAATACCCAGCGTTCTATAACTGATTCCAAAACCCGCTTAGAACCATATCAAAATTCATCAAAGTGTGTCGCTATTATAAAGATATAAAGATAAACTTAGATTCCAATCAGATACGAGCACGGACTGGTGATGCCACATTCACTCATTCCTGGACATCATTGATGGAACACCGCAGGAAAAAACGCGACTTTCACTTTTCTATTGGTTCTGCCACGGGAAATGATGATCTCGGCTAACAGTTCATCTCTAACAAATAACAGAAGGCTAACAGGCAGCACATAGAACAACTTTTTGTCGTCATTCATGCACGAAGTACTAAGTCACAGAGCTCCGGAATTCTCTGCCTGATAAGTATACTTTCAAAAGTTCATGAAAATTCCAATACCAATCTTCTCTCTCTATCCTTCCTATAGGTACGCGCACTTTGTTTTGCAAAAATAATATAGGAATTCCCGCTCGTGCACTTCATAAAATTGAAAAAAAAAATGATGTGTCGCATTTCAATTACGAAACAATATTCGAATGTCATGTTCACCTGGTGTATGAATTAAAGACAACGTTATCAACTTGTTCTTTGATAGTAGCATGAGTAAGTGACCATATAAGCCTCTCTAGATATATATAATAATTTCTTGTAAGTTTCAAACCTTACATTAGATGAAAGTCCGTATATACTACTTATAGTATATTATGTAGAAAGTGTTATGAACGTCATTTCAGTAACGAGAATTTTGAGCTCGCGCGCAGCAGAGCGTTACATACTATACTTTTTTTACGAACTCATAATTCCTCTCTTCGACAAGATCCCATAATTCTGAAAATTAGTTAATAACCTATCTGCTTACCTACAAAATAATTCAAAGGGAATGGGAATTGAGAAAATAATACATATAATACTATGCAACTGCCTGGAAGTGAGTAACGAGACACGTTTAAGTTATATTGGTTGTAGATGTGCGTCCAGTCCATAGGATAGATGAATTTCTATTGAAATGACTTGTTTACTGACCTTCGTGAATAAGATTTCATGTGACGTAGTAGATAAAATCTATTCGATTCGCTAAGGTGTCAAAGTTTTCGATTTCTCCATATGGAATTTAAATTAATTTATTATTATTAAATTTTGTTCAGAATGACTGAAATAATGGAATAATCGAAATTCGACAGAGGTAAGTTCACTTTATGAAACTTATGGCATCATTTTCTTCTTCAGACATTGATGAAAAATGTATTCTACATATAAATATTCAATGTCTGTCTATTATTGTTATTATAAGGATCAGTATTATTATTATTGCGTTTTAATTTATGCTATATTCGGTAGCGGAACATGGAAATAGATTGATGCTTTGTTGAAAAATGCAACTTTTCTATTGAATACTGTCCTGCTCTCTGAGGCGATTGGAATTGAAATATATATAAAGGTAATAAAACTACGAAAACCATTCAATTCAGTATAGTCCTTTGATTCATTATAATAGGATAAAAATATATATATATATTCAAATATGTACAAGTCAAGTGTGTATATAATTCTGTTCTTCATATCAGTGGAATTTTCATCTGCATATTTGAAACTTGAGGTGAGTACAGTGAGAAATAATATAATAGGTCGCAACAATCAGCATCATTACTCGAAATGCTGTTTTGGAATCTCTACATTTTTCAGCGAATCAATCAATTTTGATGTTGAGTGAGGAGTTGCTTGAAACGTACCGCGTACGTACTAAGTTTCATTTAGCATCATCATTCAAATATGTGATGCATAAAATGACCAAGAGGGTACAAAACTGAACATTTTGTAAATTTTCGAAATCAACCCCAATATTACTATATCCCTATCCACTTTGATGACCTTCCATTTTTAAACTCATTAGTTTGTCTTCATTGATTCATGAGATTTGTCATCGAAATTCCAGAATTATTTCAAAAAAATGAGACGTTATTATAAATACACTAAAGTTCAGTGTTCTGATATGAATTATTGGTTTCATCTATGGTTTCATCATCTGGGCTGATTCCTATAGACTTCACCTGGTGTTGAGTTTCTTCACTTTCCTGCAGAAATCTGTGAGTTTCATATCAGTTGGTTTTTTATCTTCGTGCTTGGTCTTGCGCATAATCCTCACAGATGTCCCCCCATTCACTTAGTCTATGTTTTTTTTCAAAATGGAAGCCTTTGGGAGAAAGCTAAAGAAGCGACTTGTTCGTAAGGCCCGAAAATATTTTTCGTATTAGTTATCTCGTCCCACATAATGAAGTATGATAACTTCAACAATTGTTAATTGTACGATTATTTGAGTATTTTCAGTCATTCCATCTCCAATTTCCTTGTAGGTGATATTTTCTTGTTCTCGTGAGCCTGATGATGGCATGTATATATACCCGAAGCATGTTCCTCCAACCCTCAATTTGGAAAAATATACTTCGTAATATACTTCTACTGTTGATGTTTTCGGATCACAATATTTTTTTATGGTTCATGCAATAATTGGTCTAGGCTAGGTGATCGGTGTGTTTCAGTTGAGAAGAATCAGACCATTCCAAATGTCTCGCTTGAAATTGAAGAACCCTAACGGTAAATGACTATTCAAATATAATTTCAAATTCTCAATTCATCTCCCTTCATTCATGCATTCGAGTTGAAATCGATATCTTATTGAATAGTCGAATTATTGAAAAAAACTGATTCGAATTTCAAACTCTGACGTCCAGTAAGGCGGACATTGGTCCCAGAAAAAAATAGGCTTGAGGAACGTCATATTACTTGTGTTCCAAGAATACACGTCTTGAAGACGTATATTTGGGTTGGGCAAGAGTATGGAAACAGGTGAATATCTCAGTAACCGTTTGTTGCCACTTCTTCAGTTCTTCCGGAATTAAATCTAACTTCCTCGTTCTTAATAGAATACCCTGTATTTCATTGAATTTTTGTATTTTTCCTCAGAAGCTGATTTCATAGATCGATCACACTTGGGGTCTAGCGGGAATGATTACCGAGATATAGGGTGGTCAAAACCTAGTTTTCTCAACTTTAGGATATTTTTGTGTCGAAACTATTCATTATTGCTCGAAACAGGTTCGATGAATCTTTTCCAACTTTTGATTCACTATCTACTGACAATTATTTGAAACAGATACATGGTGATCAGAATTCTGAATCTTGGACCATCTTGTATTTGTTTCAATCAAAAAAGTCAGTAGAAAGCAAATCAAAAGTTGAGGACGGACATGTGAACCGTTCTAACCAATTATGAATGATTTCAACACAAAAAAATCGTATATTTGAAGAATCTCGCTTTAAAACACCCTATATCTCTGTACTCATTTTCTATTGATTCAAAGTATGATAGATCGAAGAGATCAGCTTCTCAGGGAGAATCTGAAAATTCTATTCAAAATGAGGAAAGTAATAATAATTCCGGAATAACTGAAGAAGTGGCAACATTGGCGATAACGTTATCAAATCCGCCATGTTTTGATATCACCTAGACATACATTCGGAAAAAATCTAAAGAATGGTTACAGATAATATGTTCACCTGTTTCCATACTTTTGCCTCATCCTGTATACTGTTAAGGGATTGACCTCCTTCTCTTCACGGACCCCTTGAATAAAGGCACATATCGGGTGAGAATACCATATTCGCCACTCACAGGTTTAGGATATGTTTGTCTAAAACCATTGAAAATGCCATTGTTGATGCGTTTCAGATATCGAATATCGATTACCTTTTACAAATATGATCACAATATCAAGATATTATTTTGGAATTTCGAAATTATTCCACAGATTAGATATTAGGTATAGATATTGGACTATGAAATACGAATTCGTTGGGAATTATCATGGGTTGGTACCTACTATTGAGGAAAACCAAAAATTAATGAGAACTAGGAGCAGAGCAGTGGCAATTTATAAAGAAAACGTTTTTTTCACAGGAACTTGGAGAGAACCTCTCGAAACTGGCACCGGTGTTACACAATACTTGTGTCAGAAAAACAGGAATACCCGAAGCTACAATACTAAGCATGAGAGAAGGACATTTTGAAGAAGAAGACAAATCAGAGGTAAATATTGGTAACATATGAGAATTTGAAATCTTACATGGTGTTCCATAAATTGAAGCGATAAATGGAGTGAGTATAATAGAAGATGAAAGAATAAAATCAAATAATTGATCTTTTTGCTGGGAGCAACAAATTAATATCGGTGCTTTTTGCACATAAAGCAGACAACATTTTTTCGATCGATTTACATTAATTTTTATTACAAGATTTCTTCAGGAGTCATTTATGAAACCATGAATGTGATAGTGAATTTTAAAATTGTTCTACAATAACATGAACAAATTAAACCAAATCATTTTCATAAAACCATATTTACCTGCTTTTTAGTTTATTTCAATCTCGATATTGCGGCTAGTGCAATTCACTAAGAACAAACTTCATTCTCCGTAATTTCTTTCATAATATATAAAATTTTATATAACTCTTTGAGGAATAATGAATGTCATGCACGATGGTCCTAGAACATTATAGGTATTCTCTCTCGTGCTCTCCAAGCGAAAAAAAAGTGCACAACATGCTACTTCGTAGATCGAGAACTGATTTTTTTCAAGGAGGCGCAACCGAGTGAAACAAATGGGGGGCAATAAAAATCGATGAAGTCAAAAGAAGCCGTTAAATAGTTATTTGTGGAACTAGTGAAAACAAGGGTGTTAGTTGCATTATGCGTGAAAGTTTACTTCAGCCCAAGTGGTATATAATATAGTAAAGGATACTTATAAGAGAAAAAGAAACGGAAGAATAATCCAGAATTCCCTTACAACCTACAATCATTTCTAGACGAAAGGAGAACCTACCAGAAAAATCACATACTGTAGGTTGATTTGCTAGTGCTGTAATGCTGAAAAACAGCATTTTGTTGAATACAATCCCTATGACCATAACATAATATATTTTAATAAATCCTTGGACAGGTCGATTTTCATTTCTGAATATGTATGTTTTAGATAACATTCGTCAACCACCTGACAACCTCCTACCCTTCAGATCAACCCCTTCAAAATGTTCAATTACACTTCGTGCAGAGATATTTAAAATCTTTGTAAAATGCTCAATTCTCTTTCAAATTCGTTTGAGCGGGTATAACCCCATTGCGCCTATTCTACCTGGTCTAATCCGGATCTCAAAATAGCCCGGAATTTATGATAACCCAGTTGCGCCTATGGTTAAAATATGCCTAATCTATAGACTCAGCAGGTTATCTATGACATACTGTCCCTGCTCATTATCGGAACACCCCCTACCCTAAAAAATGTTTCGAAATCGTAAGCCAAGAATGTGTAAGACTAGGATATCAATTTTGGATCTGTTGACGTTGCATCGGATTTTGAAAACTATTCATTTATCCATAAGATTTATATGGTCAGAAACAAAAATGATAGGATGCAGATTTCATTTGAGACAATCTTGGATTAGAAAAATCCAAAGTTTAGGGCTGATGTCAGGATACAAAAACAATTATTCACTTATTGGGAATATTTTACATTGGACACTTGGCTTGACATTTTGAGAGCCAGAAGCAGTGGGAGATCAAATGTTGACTAATGACGCAAGATTGAGAAATCATTTTGAATATCTTGTTGATAATTATAGACGAGGATTCTGAATTTCCTTCTTAAAAATGTGCTCGTGCTGAAGCTAGTAGTTACAGAACAACAAAGTGCTGTGAATCCTTTCATTCTGATTCAACTAGAAGTTTGAGTGCACCTCATCCGAATATTTTCAAATTAGTTCAAATATTGAAGGAATTTCAAACTGAAACTTACATTGAGATTAATAGTATTCATATACCAAATGAAATCACAAATGAATGGTACAAAGACAGAATTCAAATCTTAGCCAAAAACTTAAATATATTAAAACATGGACAAATTGAGAGGTTCGATTTTGTAGAAACTACGTCTCAGCATTATGATGAAATCTGAACATGAATAAATGTCGTGTACACTTTGAATAAATGTCTTGTATACTTTGTCAATGATTAAGTATTTTAGTTGAATGGTGTAGTTTTATTATACTGAATATACATCTACGCATATGTAGAATGTATGTAGAATGTAAATGGTATATAAACTTATCTTTTTCATTGTACATATAGTCGTAGACAGACATGCTGTACGAAATATTAAATTTAAATGTAGGTAAATTAGCTGTAAAAGTGATACATTAGAACAGCACCTACCAAGTCACATGAATTCAGACAAACATTCTAATAAATTTTTAATCTTTCAACTGTTCTCTTGGGGATATACCCCAACCGAATTTAAAAAAATATGACCGTTGTGAAGAGATTTGGAATACTTTTAGGTTAGGTTAGGTTAGGTTCCATGTGAGTGGGGCGAATACCTCCCCTCCACTGCGACCCCAGATGGGTCTATTGTGGCTCACCCCTAGAGGTTACAGTTCACCGTACAATCCACATCTTTTTACAAAGTTCATGGTTGAAGTGGGTGAGATTTGTCTGTAATCGATAGGTTCTAAATTGGTAAAGCCAAATGTGTCGAACCTTAGTCTTTCATGGTCTCTCTAAGCTAGAGCATGAATATAATAATATGTGTTCAGCCGTTTCCTCTTTCACACAACAGAACCGACAGTCCGTTTGTTGGTTCAGACCCATCCTTCCCAGGTGGTATCTCAGACGACAGTGTCCCGTAAGCAGTCTGGAATACCTCTATAACTTAATGAACAATTCTTGGAGGGGTTGATCGGTGAGGTATAGGAGGTTGAAGGTAGTCAAAAATGTTTTTAGTCAAAAAGCAGATTTCCAACCATATAAATCGACGTGTCCGAGGATTTTTTAAAATAAATTTTTGTATCATAGAGATACGAATTTTATTCTCACACAGTTTTCCACACAATATAATATATAATAATCAGGAAAAAATATCACGTTTTTATAATACGCCTAAATCTTTAGATTTGCGTACAGCAAAAATTCCGGAAGTTTTGCTCTTGGTGAGCCGACATGCAATAATAGTGAGTTAGTCGATTACATAATAGTTGTGAACTGTGATCTCGATTGATTTTAAAAAAGGGTTCTTGTGATTTGTATTCTAATTCTGCAACATACAGCACTATGTGGAATAAAGCATTTCAAAAAAAATTTTTTTTTATAGGAATATGTCACATGCATATGGCTGGAATCCCAAATTGTGAGTATAGAAATTTTAACATTCTGATTTCGATTAATGCCACAGAAAAGTAACGGAAGATGACGATATTACCAACATATTTTTAATTTTTCGATCCCTATATAAAAAGATATGTCAATTGGATTATGCACTACAATTTCTTCTCAACTGAACGTGAAAAATGATTATAATATCTGGACACAGAGAGATCGGCTTTCATGGAAAAAAGGCATGCCTGTGTTTTGTTTGCATTAAAATCTACCAAGTTGTTGGATCCCCATTCGAAAATAATTGTTGCCAAGTCCATATTTATGTTGTCAACAATTCTCCCTCGTTCGCTTCTGATTTGCCTGGCAGGTAGAAATGTTATTGGTGCTAGAATTGGTCCTTGCGGAACAATAGCATTTATAATAAGAGAGTCAGATGGAACTCCGTCGACCACTACATGGAGAGACCTGTGTGAGCGAAAACTATCCAGCAGAGAACATAGCTGGGGAGACAAGCCATAAGATGGAAGCTTGGCGAGAAGCCCGTGGTGCCAGACTCGATCGAATGCCTTGGAGATATCAAGTGCCACGGCTAAGGTTTCACTATATTTTTCAATAGATTGCTGCCATATATGTGTGACGTAAGCGAGCAGGTCAGCAGTTGATCTCTGATGACGAAAGCCATATTGCCTATCGTTGATAATATCTGAGTGTTCCAGGTATTTCATGAGCTCGATGTTGATAGCTTTCTCCATAATATTTGACATACCTAATAGATAGCAGATGCGATCGGTCTGTAGTTGCTATAGGTAAGATCTTCTTGAGTTTTTTAGGAACTGGTTGTACACTCACAATTTTCCAGTCGGACGGGGATATCCCCAATTCGTAGGAGTAGTCGAACAACTTGCATAGAACAGATGTTAGTTCGGGAGCACAGTCCTTGAGGACAATCGATGGAATTCCGTCAGAGCCACAAGCTTTGTTGGTGTTGAGACCCAATAAAATCTTCCTTATAGTACGTTGGCGAAAGGTGATCTCGGGCATATGACTGTCTATTGGCGTTATGTTTGGAGGTTGTTTTCCCGATGAATTCAGAGTGAAATTTTCAGCAAATAAAAGCGCAAAAATGTTGTCATTCTCATGGGCAGTTGTGGCAAGTGGAGCACCTTCCTCGGTTAGAGGAGGAAATGAGCTGAAAGTGAAGTTTCTTCCAATAGCTTTGGCAAAGGACCAAAATTAACAGAATACGTTAGGACATTCAACAAGTTTTGATCTTATTTTGGCATTATGAGCAGCCTTTGATAATCGCATTGTCTCATCGCATATGTCTCCAGCCTCGACATATTCTGCTCTAGTCTCAGGGCTTGGATTTTTCTGCCATCGATGGAATGCTGCCTGTTTGGAAGCGACAGCTCTAGAGCAGTTTCTACTGAACCAGGCCTTATCGGACGATATTCTTGCAGTGTTCGGTATGTCGGTTTGCATCTCCCAACATGATGATTTCAGAAATTGTCTCAGCACATCGTGTTGGGTCTGCTGAGGAGAAACAAACTCTCTTCCATGGAAACGCTGAATATAATGTTTGCGATTCGAAACCGCAGAACTCTCGTAATCTGGAATGCGTTGACTAATGTCGATCAAAATGAAAACCTTACTAACTACCTAACTCATTTCGAAAACTCAAAATGTCGAAATGTTGGTAGTACTTATATCGTGTGATCAAATTTGATATATTCATTTTTTGAAAAACCTTTTTTTTTGTATCTTCAGCCTATTTTATTCGGTCATATCTCAAGAATAATACTTACTCTTGTACCAATTCCGAGCCTGATATCTCATACACGGTATGTTTATTTCACGAAGACCAATTCCAAAATTAATTCTCTTGTATCTGATCCTGTACGAAAGCAAGAAAAAGTCCTTGAAGTTTATATTACCAAAGGTGGCTATCACTCAAATTCTCTCATTTTAAAAACATTTATCAATGGAATCAGTATCAAAAAACTCTAACCAGAATTAATATTTTTGATTTTCAGATCAAACCTGATGGTACTCTGAACAGGGATCGCATGGTGGAACTTTGCCCTCCTCAGATAAAAGAAACAGGTCCGAAAATAGTACTAGGGTGTTGGGAGAAAGTTGAAGGTTAGTCTTCGTTCACATCTACAATAACGCCATTCTGTTCACTGAAATAATTCAATTTAAGGGTTCGGTGCATAGACAAAAATTTGGAAATAATGAATATTAAGACCAGTCAAGAGTGAGAACTATCTGAGGGCCCAATTTACTCGAACGTGAAATAGTTATTTGTTTAACTAGGCAGCAAAGCAGTAGATTGACTGCCGAGGCTGAATTCATAGCCGAGCGTAGCGAGGCTAGGAATCCAGCTTAGGCAGTCAATCTACTTTGCTGCCGAGTTGAACATATAATTGTTTCTCCGATTGTTCATAATGATATATATCTCTTTATTTTTCCTGTAGTGTTCAATTTAAATAAAATTTGATAGAAATCGCAGTTGTTGGAATGGTTGGTTGCTATGGAAATGTCCATAATAATTATAGTTTGACAATTCATGAAATTCCTGACAGTTGTGCGAAAAAATATCGGTATATTCAAATTATTATATAATGGAGAGTGATAGCGACCTGGAAGTACTTACAACTCCAGAAATAAGGCAGGTGGCAAAAAATATAGAATGGAATTTGTTGCCGGAGAAGTCTGGAATGAAATATGAAGGAAATTATAAACGATTTATGGATTATTAATTTTGCTGATACATATCAGTCAGCAAAGTAACCACTTTGCTGCCTAGGCAGGAAAAGTAATACTTTGCTGATTGATATGTGTCAGCAAAGTTGATATTTGCTGCCAATCGGAGAAAAACAAAGTTTCTCTCCATATACTTTGGCAAAAATGTCGTTGACTAACTGCGGAACGTCTCTAAAAATATATCATGGTTTAAAAAACTGAAAATCACACTTTTATATGTACAGCCAAACTAAAAACAGCAGAAAACAATAGTTATTTATACAACAAGTGCAAGAAGTACCTAAGTGTTCATTGCACGCGTTGTAAATTTGTCAAACGAGGCGGTTATCTCTCCCGTCATTTACCATTTATGTTGTTAATTCCATTGAAGAATCAGAATCGAATCAGAAATCAAAGGGTCTGAGCATTGTTCCATATTCTTATTTCAAAGCCCTGAAATCGGGGTTTGAAGTTGTCGTTGGACCACCCTGTATAAATGGCAGAACAATGCTATGTCTTTTCTGACGAGTATGCGAAGAGCGTATGTAGTACTGGGCCGGCCATGCATAATTTGAAGCAAACTATACAGATTGTTAGCCCTATCGTTACATATACCGGGTGTTTCTCAAGAGTGACTCACCCCTATAACCCTATAACGAATGCAATTCGCTTTGTGAGTACAGTTCACAAATATGCATTGATAGACGTATTCAATTGTTTTCTACGAAGCCCTGGAAGAGACACATAAAATGAAAAAAATAAAAACTCTTCAAAATTCCGATTTATAACTCGGAATTTTAAATGATCTGAAGGAACTGCTGAAAAAGCAATTCAGATTACAATGGCTGATCCATGTCAAATTCCAAATATCCGTATTCAGGAGTCAGCGGATGTGCTAATTTAATATCTCATTTTTTGTTTTAGAGGTGACTCCCCTGGAGAAGAGAGTATACGAACTGCAGAAATGTTTCTACAAATCTGATCCAGAGGTAGGGTGGAGCAGATATTGTCATTGAACTATTATCAATATGGCATTTCTTTCAATTTGCAGAACTATATTATGATTTGATGAGACGATGATACTGACCCGTAAATTGAGGCAGCCCTCCTGCGAGCGTGGATTTGGACTTAACTACATAAGAGTTTCCTCTTCTTCCTCAAGAATTATAAATTGAAACTTCGAATCATTAAACCTTTCGATTCAATGAATTCGTTTTTGTTGATCACCCAAGTAGCAATTTGGCGACAACAACCACATAATACACCAAAACTAGCGTTGTACGTAGTAGGTGTTGAAATTAGTCATTCATCAAACGAATTCCTCTAAACCACCGAACAACGTCGTCTCAATGTTTAGCATGACTTAAGTTAAACTATGACGTTGTTACAACGTTCATCCAACCAACTACGAAGAAGTAAGTATTTTGGGAATGGCAAAATGACGTTTCAATTTTTTAATTTTAAATATGGTTAAGTGACAACTTCAGTTTTTTTAACATTTAAATATGAACATCTACTTGTTCATAACTGACCTATTTATAGGACATGACATGACATGATGAATGATGTCAGTGTCAATGTCAAAATTCCTCAAATTCTTCTGGATAGCTGAATTCTGAGGCCTGTTGTTCTGAACATCTTCGGAACCAGAATAGTATGGTGTCTCTTATTCATGACTTATGTGAACTCAAGTTATGGTGAAGAGCTTCCTAAATTGGAAATAACACGAGCCTTCAAATACACTACTGGCTCCTATCAGGCAAAAAAAGAGATTATATCGTGAAGAAATTTCACAAGTACAAGCCTACATGAAGACAGAGCGATTGTGGAGTTTGATTTTTTTATGCAGGAACAATCACCAACTTGCCCCTTTGTAAGGGGCCAGTATTCCTTGACCAGTTTCTTCCCATTCGTGTGGTATTGGTTCTACCTCTTGGTCCTCTTGCGTGCTTTTTATGTTCAAAGCTATGAAATGGACAGCCATCATTTCTGAAATCTTTTGCTATCCCAGATTTCAGAAGAAAATGTTATAGAGAAAATGAAGAATGCGAAAAATACGAGAAATGACATCAATCATATCAATGGTCAATGATCGACGACAAATGACATTTAACGCAAATGATGGCGAGAGGCGCGTTGCACAATGTGGAGAATGGTGGAGTATTTGGACTGCCTTCAGTTCAAGGTCGGATACGAAACCCCAGTGCACTTCAGGTATTGAGACTTATGGAATAAACAAACATATTTAGGAGTATCATTGTCCTATTCCTATTTGATTCTGTAGAAAACATGTTTATATATATATATATATATATATATATATATATATATAGGTGTAAACGGTATATTGTTGAGCCCGTCATATGAACGGGGCGCTCTTGAGCCCACCCTTTCCTGTGTAGTTAGAAGAGTATATGTCAGGACAATTATATCTTCTCATCTTCGTCTCTCATGGGACACTTAGAGGGGAAAGGATTTCAAACGTTTAAATATTTTTATATGTTTTTCGCACGTTGTTGAGCCATTTATACTTTCACTACGTAGTGGAGCCCAATTATATACGAATTTATATGAACCGTTCCTAGTGTGTCCCGACAGTGTTGCCATGTTTTGTTGATATTAATACATATGAGTATTATATAAACCGTACTCTAATGAGCCTCAGAGGTAAAATCATGGTCGCAATGATGGGACAGGAATTGCGGAAATGCAAAGACGTGAGTTGATATTGTATATCATTTTGCTAGCATAATCTTCGGATATATTTTTTTCAATTCTGTAGTTGAGTAAAGATAAATGAAATTGAAGACCAAGTTGGTGTTCGTATGCAACTGGTTGGAAATATGTAGTGAGAATAAATTAGTTAGGTGAATGATGAATACTTTCAGGGTTGACCCCTGCTTATGAACAATACATATCTAATCAACGGCCCATTTCATCAACACCCAACTCATCAACGACTCAACTTATCAAGGACCTAACTCATCAACACACCCATTTAATCAGCACCCGGCCACCTCGTCAACAATCCATTTCATCAACTTCCTAACTTGATCTAAATAACGAACTACACTCATCGACCCAACTGACCAACTCAACCGTTTCATCACCTCCAATAACCTAATAACGTTCAAAGTAATACCTCATTTTCCTATCATATTTATTTTAATAACCATTTAACAATTACATCGAATTATTCACAGCCAACAATCCTAACTTGATCTAAATAACGAACTACACTCATCGACCCAACTGACCAACTCAACCGTTTCATCACCTCCAATAACCTAATAACGTTCAAAGTAATACCTCATTTTCCTATCATATTTATTTTAATAACCATTTAACAATTACATCGAATTATTCACAGCCAACAATCCTTACCTACAATTTTCGTTTGTATTGTAAGTGTCTCAATATTCAAAAGGTACAGAGAAGATTCGAGACTGACTTATGTGATATTCGTCAAAAAATTTACGTTAATATACTGATGTAAAAGAATAACAGTGGTAGGCAGACGGTGTGGAAGATAATAATTCAATAATAATCATCGTAATGATGCAATGGCTATTTGGCTTCAGAAAATCTTCGAGGAAACCAAGGAAAAAAGATGAACATAAAAAGTGAAAAATAGTTCTGCCACCCCAAATCATATAGTTGGGTCGTTGATAATTCGATACTCTGATGAGTTAGGTGTGTTAATGAGTTGGATAAGTTTTGTCAGTTGATGAGTTGAGTGAGTTGAGGTCGATGATGAGGTAGATCGTTGATGAACTGGGTCTTTCATGAGTTGAGTCGTTGATGAGTTTGGTCATTGATGAGTTGACCGTTGATGAGTTTTGTCGGTTGATGGGTAAGGTGAATCGTTCATGAAACGAGTCGTTGATAAGTTGGGTCGTTGATGAGTAGGGTCTTTATTTCGAAAGAGCGAGATGAGCTGAGTCATTGATGAGTTGACCGTTGATAAAATGAGTCGTTGATGAGCTAGATCGTTGATCATTTGACTCGTTGATGAGTTGACCGTGGATGAATTGAAATATTGATAGATTGGATTGTTGTTGAGTTGGGTCGTTGATGAGTTGACCGTTAATGCTTTGAGTCGTTGATCAGTTGACCGTTGATCAAATGAGTCGTTGATCAGTAAGGTCTTTGATGATTTTGACTCGTTGATGAGTTGATCGATAATGAATTGAAACGTAGATGAATTGGATTGTTATCGAGATGGGTCATTGGGGAGTTGACTTTTGATGCGTTGAGTCGTTGTTGAATCGAATCGTTGATGAGTTGAACGTCGATAAAATGAGTGATTTATAAGTTAGGTCATTATTTATTCGACTGTTTGATGAGCTGGCCCTTTATTGAGTTGACCGTTGAACAGTTGAGATGAGTTTATCAGGAGGATCGTTATCAGTTGATGAGTTGGGTGTTGATGAGCTGGGTCGGTTGATTGTTAGGTCATTGATAAAGTGGATCGTCGATGAGTTGTGTTGTTGATGAATTGGCCGTTGATGAGTTGAGTCTTTGATGTGTTGATCGTCAAGTCGTTGATGAATTGTATCATTGATGAGTTTTATTGTTGATTACTTGGGTGGTTAGTAAATTGCGTTATTGATGAAATATGTCATCGATGATTTGAATTGTTGACGATTTATTTGTTGATCATTTCAGCCGATGATGAGTTGAATCGTTAATGGGTTGACCGTTGATGAGTTATATCGTTGATGACTGGGATCATAGATGAGTTGTATTGTTGATGTGTTGACCGTTTCTGAGTTGTATAGTTGATCGCTTGCCCTTTGATGAGTTGTGTCATTGATGAATTGGATCGTAGATGAGTCGGGTCGTTGATGAGTTGGGCCATTGATTATTTGAGTCGTCGATGATTTGACTCGTTGATGAGATTAGCCGTTGATGAGAGGACTCGTTGATTAGTTGAGTCGTTAATGATTTCGCTCGTTCGTGAGTTCGGTCGTTTATGAGGTAGATTGTTCGTGAAACATGTTGCTAATGAGTAGACTCGTTGAGTGTTGATGAGTAGATCCATTCATGAGTTAGGTTGGTTGATATGCAGGATCGTTGAGGAGGTGGACCGTTAATGAGTTGGGTCATTGATGAGTTCACGTTGGTGAATCAATTCGTTAATGTGATGATGGTTCATAAATTAGGTTGATGCATTGGATCATCGATATGTTTGGTCGTTAATGAGCGAACGTTAATGAGTTGGGGCATTGATGGGTTGGTTCGTTGATGACTTGACCGTCGATGAATGAATCATTAAAGAGTTGACCGTTGCAGTGTTGAGTCATTGATAAGTTGGGACGCTGATGATTCGATAGGTGTGACGTCTCTGACGAAAAATCACCAATTAGGGACGTCACAGTGACATGATCATTCGTCATATGGTTGCCTGGGCAACGTATCGAATCAACAGCGTCCCAACTCATCGATGATCCAATACTTCAACTACTTTCTATGACGTGAGAAATACGTCATCATCTCGTCGTCTAGGGAACGTCAGTTAGAAAGGTAAAATGAGACGATAGTTTCATGACGTACCTAAATATACAGGATGGGTATGTTCAGTGGCGAAAAGTTTTCAGAAAAAATAAATTTTTCATCAATTTACACTGATATTTAGAAACTTCTTTGTGATTTTATAGATATATAGATAAAAGTATAACTCATCAAAACATGCAAGTTTTATTGAAATTATATATACCCAAAAAGTAAGCTATATATGTTTATATTCAAAATTCAGAATAGGTGTATACCTATATTGAAACCGTCACTGCAATGATTTTGCAGTGACGCATCTATGACGTCTAAAAATCACGTCGGTGTGACGTACCAATTTGGTGAGCTCTGTCATTCAGAATTTTTCTCAATAATTTGCATTGTTGAGTGACAAATAATTTATGAATATACGTTTCTCAACAAAGTGAAGCTAAATTCGCCAACATCGTTTTCATTGCTATCAAACTATTTTTGGTTTGCTTACATCACGCCGACACAAACTACATAATTTGTTATACAAATTCGATTAACTGATTCCATTCTGATGGTACTGAGGGATAGCGCTGCTGAATAGACGATTGAATGGCCATGTCATCAGAGATCGGTGGTGATTATCACACCATGTTCGAGGAAACTTTTTTATGTGTCATCACCAAATTTGAATGTCATTCTGACGTCATTTTGACGCCAGCATGACGTCAAAGTTTGGTGAGTGAATGACGTCAATAAACGTGAGCAA